TTCCCCGAGCCTGACCTTGTTAGGATCAGAATCCCACAAATATACTGCGCGAGCTCGAGCCGCAGCTCCCTCCCCACGACCTCCGACTAGCCCCCTGTCTCTCCCCGTACAGCTGCGCGCTCATACGCTCCGTAGGCGTGTCAATGCTAGTAATACACTTCAGCGTTCGGGGTCCAGACAGAGCGCATCATGACATAGAGCGCATCATGACATTGATGCCATGTCGGCAAACTTTCGCGTATCAGTGATATGTCCTCCGCTTATCAGCATATAATTCCCGGCCTCCATACAAAAGCCGATTCTGAGAGGTTGCTGATGATACAATTCCGGATTTCCAAAGACTGGGGTTAAATCTCCGGCCGCTATGACACTCCTATTCAGTTCAGGCCCAACTAAGTCAATACAATGACTGGGAGGACTATTAGGGCTTGAGCAGAACGCGTTTGATCCGACGGAAACACAGCCTGAGGATAGTTGTGGCGCTCTGGATGTACTTGACAACATGTACTCGAGCAAGGCCCTGATGGTATCTTCTCGACCAAACAAGGCATGAGCTCCAGGAAAGGAAACTAGCTCCGTCATAATCAGTGTCGGTGCTGAGCCTACGAAAGCTCTCAGTTTCGACTTTGTTCTTGCTTTCTTCCCTCGCTGCCCGGTAGTGCGTTTCCGCTGGTTATTATATGCTTCTGTTTCTCAATATCTAGCTCCAAGGGCCGGTTAGACCGACTGAAAAGAACCCAGAGAGGCGAGAGGCGAGGAACAGTCTCATCTCGTAAGAATACAGCCTCCAGCATATAGAACTAATTTATATACTGATATGACTATATAAACAGACATGGCAAACAATATGAACAAGTGGACTCCAGATGGCTGAGCTGACCCAAACACCCGGCGTAAGACTTCCAGTCGGGAGATCCTTGTTTTAGACAGCGCCGGGGGATGCTTCGCCAGACCGTAAAATCTCATTATCCTTGGAATGATGAGGTGCGACGCGAAAGATAGGGAAGTTTTCTGCAGCCGCCGGTCTTCTCGTAGACCAGAAACCCACTGAACGCATGGATCTTGCTTGACGGTGGTGAACCTGTGTCAGGCAGAAGCAATCTTGCGAGTAGGTTTTCGGGCTCCCGCGGCGTAGACTATGTTGCCGGACGAATGGGGGCGAAGTGCCACAAGCGGCGGTATCGGAATGATGGGAAGTGTGAGTGTCCCTGTGCATGTGCGAGTGGGTCCGGTCTTTCTCGGCAGACTCATCGGCTCTTACGGGCATGCCGGAGAATGAGGCGATGCAAGGGTGAGGAGTTTGTTCCGTCTTATCGTATGCCTTCATTTTATCGAGATTGGATCGTACCGACGCAAGCTCGAGTGCTTCCACGCTGACATCGGACTTGAATTTAAGTTCCGAGATTTGGACTCTTTCGACATCAGAACATTCACCAGAATACAGTCTTTCAATGATGAAGATTGAAGAGGTAGACGAGGGCGAATGATTGGTTTGAAAGCTTCATAAGGAGCCCCGATTGTCGGCTTGTAAAGCCGCCCAAACTTATCACGGTCGGAATCAAACAAAAAGCTCGATCAGAATGAGGCACACAAAATCCTGGACTGTTCAATCCGACTAATGGTTATTTATATGCGACTCATGTGTGACTCCCATAATCTACCTCTCGCACCCGTACTTGCCTGAGCACTGGCATGTCAAGCATAGCTCCTCGCTGGGTCGAAGGTCTATGCAGTTACGAAGAGGATCCGACAAGAAAGCGAGTTCCATTCATGTATTTTGGCATGCCAATCGAGGATCGCATGTACGGCCAGTACTGGATTTTCAATCGAGCACCGTGGGCAGTCCGAATGCGCTAGGCAACCCATTCGCTCATGAAGTGGATGCGCAAGTGTCCACCTTCGAACTCGAAAGCCCCAAAACAAAACAGACGATCAAGCCCAGAACGACAATAGATACCCTTGTAGCAGGAAAGCCTCCGCGCACCAGCATCGAGATCACGATAAAGCATGGAGAGTCGATCCGTGGAAAGAAACGCTACAACTGCAGCGTTGTCTCAGGCTCCAAGTGGCAGAGGCAAATCGCATCAATCCAGAATAGTGATTGGGGAACCGCCAAGACTGTATTCAGTTTCCGGTCAGACACGGCGGGGGGTGCATTGTGGACAAAATCGAGGGAACAAGGACCTGGCCGAGCAAGACTACTAACTAAGACGAGTTGGACGATTCTAGTGAGAATTGCACAGATGGAGAATCTGTGAATCATAGATGAGCGAGGTGCTAGATGGTTGCAGCCGGTTGACTAGCTTTATAATATAACAGCGATGAAGAGATATAACTGAAGGAGTGCACGAAAAAACTGTTTATGTTTGGTATATGATCCGATCAAGACCGAAATCTCTGTTGTGGATATCTGTTTCGCATTCTTCCTGCCCTCGGTGTTTGAATTCCAGTTTGACAAGGGCACATCAAGTCGATTGTTTCAAATCTTGCGGAGAGAGACTCGTCCAACTCATGATCGGCCTTTGGGACAGGTTCTTTATCGCACGCATTGTCTGCTGCATGGATCTTTCGCTGACCGCCACAGCGCAGCGAGACTATAAATCGCCTCGAAAAGACACTGCGGTCATTAATTGGATTCCAGACAGCCTCAGGCAGATCTATTTTTTGAATCTCCCGTCGTACGCTCCCGTTCCAACGTCTGCGAAGGCTAGCTCCTCCTCCAACCTGGCAGCAGCGCCTCCTGGCAATGGGCACTCTAGTGCCCGACCCCATACAGGGAGCGCGGGGTCGTTTCTGTAATGTTGAATTGAATAATTTACGCTCTATGACCAGTTCAGAGTTCATCTCCGTCTCAACACCCATACATTAGCCCCAGTACCCCGATCGAGCTTATCTAAGCCCATTGTGACGTGAACAACGCACAGTAGAAATATCGTCTAAAAGACAACTTTTAATACGTCCAAGTCTCTTTCAAACGCATCGGTGCCGCACGGAAGGGGTTGAAGCTCAATCGGTGTTTGCTCAATGGTTGCCAGATCAAGGTATCTTCTTGTGACTGATGCGCGTATCCTTCCTTTCTTCAACTGCTCTGGCAGGTCATACCAGCATTCAGACTCGCCCCTCACAGAAACCGTCCCAAAAGCCAATCCCGACCCGTGCCTCAGAACCGGGAAGAGACGGAAAAGGAGCCCGTCCGAGAGGGCCTACAACCGCCCATGCTCCTCCCCAATAGTCCACCCCTCTCTCCGCCAATATGTGTTGCTCCAGATGGGATCCTGTCATCTCGGACTCGGATGACCCGGACCAGTTCCTGAATGTCGTTGTTAACGAGGGAAGCCGTGAGCTTGTCCGGTTACAAAGGGAGCAGAATACGGAAAAACGGGTTTACATCCTATGAGCCAAACTTGAAAGGGATAGATTCAATACGGTCATATCTGATGTGGATATAGGTTTCAAGTACAACAGGTGAGTACAGCAAAAAAGATCAAACAAATCACTTCCATCTACTTAGATACTTGACACCCTCCACGCCTCAACCATCGGCGTCTTCACCGGTAACGGCACCAGGCCCTTTCCATGCACCCGCACAGCTCGGCGATAAGTCGCGAATGCACCGAGCAGCACTACAGCACACACACGTTAGCAAGCGCCCACAACAAGCAGAAAGCACACACATGACGTGGGGACGACAAACATCACCCAGTGCTCTGCCCTGTACAGCGCACAGGTGCTCATCCGCTGGCCGAGCTCCAAGTCCAACTCCTCCACGGCAAGTTCGAACACGCCCTCGAGCACGCCTGCATTTCCACGACACGTTGCAATCTTGCCAGCATGCGTCAACATCAGGAGCACAATCCACACAATGGCAAGCGAGGTGAGGATCTGGATCTGAGTGATAGTGGGTGTGAAGAGTGTTGGTCTCCGTGGGCGGAAGAGCCTGGGTAGTTGAGTCAGCAGGCTTCCCATTGAGTAAGGGTCAAACTACATACAGAAGCACGAGGAGAAAGACACTGGGGAGAGAGGATATGACTATCAAGATCTGAAAAGCATCTGCCATGGTGAAATGCTCAATCAGTGAGTGGGCGACCCCGGGCCACTGCGTAGCACCCAAAATAGGGCTGGAGCGCAGCATCATGCGCTCCACTACAGCCAGGACGCCCACAGTTAGCGAGGAGAGTATCGCCACTGACCGACTGCATGAGTCGAGGCACAGAGGATGAGTTGTGAAATCGCACTGATGATCCACACGAAGCGGTTATCCCATCCGAAGCCAAGCCATTTTCGAGCAGACTCCTTGTTCCCCGCTGCCTTCTCCACGTCATCATCCTCCCGCTCCTTGCTAGTCGTCGACGGCGGATCCGCGTTTACCGGAAAGCATTCTGTGCAGATGTGGGCGCACGTGCGTGGAGGAAGATGAGGCAGGTGAGGATGCACGACTTGAGGCTGCAGATACGGATGGCTAGGCGAATACGAAGAGGGACGCTGATGATAGTATGCGTGCGGAGGTGTCGGGGCTCGGGAGAAGGAGGCGGAAGAAGACGATGAGGATGTGGCAAGCGAGTGGGCGCGGCGGTGAGCGTTAAAAAAACGAGTGTCCTGAGAGCTTCGATGGCAGAATGGTGAGTGAGAGGGCGGGGCGTCCCCGTTCAGCGTCCGCTCATCGTCCGAGTCGGGGTACACACACGAGCATGCCTCATACTCGTGCTCTTGCTCAGAGTCCGGGTCGGAGGATGGTGGAGGAGAGAAAAATGACTCGGTGGATTTGAGAAGCATGCGCAGCAAGCACGATGATTCGCGAAAGCAGCACGCGTATGGACCAAGAGGTGAGTGGGAGGCAGGAAGGAGAGGACGTGGCCGCAGTCGTCGCAACTGGTGATTGAAATTGACAATCAAGCGTGATGTAAAGCCACAATCTGACAGCACCGCCCTCGACAATCAGAAAATGGATCAATCACATCTGGCATGGGTGGCAGCACGGCGGCACAAGGAATCCTCACATTGTTCACAGTCGCTAGAAGGGATCATGTAGTCCGGGCCTGTACCTCAGCAAGCAGACCGAGCTCGAGAAGATCATCACTATCATATCATGTGATTCAATGACTTCCACCAGCACCACCACTACCACCGGCTCTCTGATCTTTAGTGGGATCCTCTTAGCCCTCGTAGCAGCCTTCAAGTTCAATGTCTCCTCTTCCTCACACTCGATCCCACGCGTCGGCCCAGTCGGAACGCTAGGCTACCTTCGCACACTTCTCCGGTCGGTTTTGGAATCGCGCCAACTAGTGAACGAAGGACTGGAACAATTTGGCGGAGGCCCATTCATCCTCCCAAGCATGACCGGGAATGCGTCGTTCTGGGCCCGCAGCATGTTGCAGAGGTTCGCAAGGCGGACGAAAGAATAGCAAGTCTCCTCCATCTGACCAGCACCATGATTGATATCCATCACAACCCTCATAGCTCAGCGCTGAAGTGCGGAACGACGATGTCAGTGGTGTCAACGCCTCAATACCACTCCGCATAGTGGCCATCGCTTACCACCACTCTGCCACTTAGATCTTCCAGCCCCGCGTCCTGTTCGCGGGCCTCGACACGAATGCACACCACTTCCTCATCCTGCTCATGCGCTCCGCCCTGCCGCGCTCCTACACAACGCTCGTCCCGGAGCTCGTCGATGAAGCACAGCATGTCGTCCCGTACGCTTTCGACACCGATACGAACTACCCACTCTGGGAAAGCGTGGTGCACTTAGTCGCCCGAGTAGCAAACCGCGCGATAATCGGCGTGCCGGGGTGTCGCGACGAGGCGTTTTTGGCCCTCCAGGTGGCCGTCGCGGAACAAGCGATCCCGGTGGCACAAGTCCTACGATGGTTCCCAGTCGTGTGTCGTCCGTAAGCGGAGTGATCCCTTCTGTCCATCGAGCCGGCGTCAACGTTCGACTAATTTCAGTTTCGTTTGGAGCGTGTTTTCCGCCCTAGCTGGCAGCAGGGAGTCATGTCTCGCGAAACTGATGCCGTACGTCCAACAGCGAGTCGTGGATTCGGGAAAGGTGGGTTCCCTGGCAAGAACCGCTCGTGCTTGAGTATCTTTGACGTTTGATAGGAAGATCCGGCCACAGTACTCGATCTACTCCTCAAGCATGCACCCGAATCGGAGCTATCGGATCTGCGCACTCTTGCTTTACGTGTGACGCATCTGAACATGGCGGCAATCCACACCTCGTCCGTGTTTCCAAAGATCGTTCCTTAACATTATATTGACTGATAGGCGCAGCTCAATATTTCTGACGCACTCCCTGTTCGAGATAGCTCGGCTCCCGGCACCACAGTTGGCACTACTGAGACAGGAGATGGATGATGCAGTCGCTGCTGAGGGGGGAATCTGCTCGAAAGCTGCACTGTCTAACTTTCATCTCCTCGACTCGCTTCTGAAGGAGGTCGGGCGGTATCACATGCAGGTTTCGGGTGAGTACCTCCACTTTTGCGCCATCTCTCATCAAAATCCAAACGCCTTAGTCGGTTCATCGCGTATGGTAATGCAACCAATCACCCTCTCAGATGGCACGCTCCTGCCAGCCGGTTGCGCAGTCTCACTGGCACACGAGCCAATTCATTTCGACACAAAAACGTATCCCGATCCGTATACATTTAAACCGTTCCGCTTTGCCCATCTCCGGACCGCAGACGGGGACACCACAAGCAACGTCAAGCACACATTTACCCATCTGGCAAATGAGTATATCGTGTTTGGGACCGGGCCCCGTGCGTGTCCTGGAAGATTCTTGTGCGTATGGATCTCATCGGACTGCATCGCTCCTTTGGTTTTTATCACAGCTACAGCGCGTCGCTGACGATCAAGATTCTCGTCTACGAGATTCTACGGGAGTTTGATTTGGCTTTTCCCGATGGAGCAAGCACGCAGCCGCAGCCGTTCGCTTTCAACGGATTCATTTTGCCGAACCAGAAAGCCACGCTGCGATTTGTGAAGCGGGATATGAAATGAGAAATCGGGTAGCGAATCTTTGTGAGAATGGTGGGACATACAGAATTATCTAATCCGGGGCGGAGCCGTGCCAATATTGACTTTCTATCTGTCTCTTCAGTCTCGCATTCTGTTGCTTCATCTTTGTCTGTGACGACGTATTCGCGTCTCAGCCTCATGTAAGGTGCGCTGATTCGGAGACCCACGATTCGGAAGTATGGGGAACAAGCGCAGGCCCTGGCAGTTCTACGTCTCAGTTATGGTGAACGGCTGCTACATGCTCGGTCGCCAGCTGCTCGGTGCTATAGTCACCTAGTTCGTGAGCGTCAAATGCCAGAGGGAGCGGCTTCAGCGAAAATCGGTCCCATTCAAGTCTCTCAAATCTTTTCTATCAGCTGTTGAGTTTCTAGCACTGATGCAAGCTATTTCCCGTCGCGAGAGACAAAACAAGAGTCTGAGCTCGGTGGCAAGTTGCCACTCCGGATGTGACATGATCTCATCAATCCATCGATCTTCGTGGCTCTGCTCTTTTTTCCTAGCCAAATCGCCATGATTGCGTCTTCAGCGGACACTTCATGGAATCCCCATCTTGCACCCCATCCCCCAGAAGGATCCTCGTCATCGGCGGCGGAGTCAGCGGCCTCGTAACTCTACGCAATCTCCTTGAGCGGGGCGCCTTCGACGAAGTATCGTTGGTCGAGAGGCGGGATGACATCGGAGGGGTATGGTGGGTCGTCTATCTAAGATCTCGGCCATTCACATACGAATACTGAATTATAGACAGGTACCTCGATGACACTCCCCATGCCCGCTTTCAATCACCTGCATACCCTGGACTCGTCGGCAACGTTCTCCCTGTCTACCTCTCCTTCTCCGGGCACCCATTCCCGGAAACCGCTTCCGAAGTCCATCCCTATCCGACACTTGCGGACACGCACGCGTATCTGCGCCGTTTCGCCGCACCATTGATCGATGCGGGCCGGATACGTCTCAAGACAGAGGTTGTGTGGGTTGATCAGGTGGAGGAGGGTGATAGCTGGGATGTCACACTGTCCACGGGTGTAGTCGAGAGATGGGACGCAGTGGTCGTTTGCACTGCGTGGTACGACTTTCCCGTGTGGCCGGACACGCCTGGACTGCAGGATGCGAGGGACGCTGGGCTGGCCGTGCACGCCAAAGATTGGATGGGTCCCACTGCCTTTGCCGGTAAGGTACCTGTCCTCATTTCAACCCCCCAAACTTTCAATGACATTCAAGACAGCGTGTCGTCGTCGTTGGCAACGCTAACTCCGCGAACGACATCGCTGCACAGCTGAAAAGCGTCGCATGCTCGCCCATCTACCGCTCCATCCGCCGTCCCACCCAGCGCCGATTCGCCTTCCTCTCAGACTCCAGAGTTGAGGATGTGAGCGCGGTCGCCCGATACAATGTCACTAATGACGGGAACAAGCTGGATATCGAGCTCATCGACGGTCGCGTTCTTGCAAATATCGACGCCGTATTCTTGGGGACAGGATACAGCCCAGCTTGTGCACCTTTTGTCCGTGTCCTCGATGATCGACGGCAGCTAGTCCCGCTCACCTCTTCGGCCACGGATCCGCCCCGGATCCCATCACTCTACAACCACATCCTTTACGCACCGAGGCCGTCGCTCGCGTTCATTGGGACCCTCATGTCCTTCACGCCCTTTACGCTGAGCGACACATCCAGCACATGGCTTGCATTGTTCTTTGCTGGGCGCCTTGCTCTCCCCGACGACCTGCTCGCCGGCGAGCGAGAGCGCGTGCAGTTCGTGCTGACAGGTCGCGGAGCAGCGGATTCATCGTCTTTCATTGCGTATCACGTTCTGGGTGCTTTTGAATTGGACTACGCGCGAGGATTGGTGCGCGACATTGCACGGATTGCACCGGAGTATGCTAGCGTGTTGCCGACTTGGAGCGATGATGAGTGGGCCCAGAGAGAGGGCATGTATGAGCGCAAATGGGTTAGCTTGGAGGCCGAGGCGAGACGAGAGTCAGAGACGTGATTCGTTTCTAGGCCTGTCGTCCTGATTGTCATATACATAGATCCAGTGTACGCGAATGGATGCTGCCTTGCATTCTGTATCTCCTTTGTGAAATGGCGGCTAAGAAACAAGTATAGGGTAGGGGGATCGGGCCGGCCTGCTTTCCTGTCAGCACGTGTGACAGGCGTCGTGTCCTTCTCGACTTTCCACTGTCACTTAGCGAGACCGGCTCCCGCTCTGAAATCGCACACGCTGGATTAGTCTCAGTCGGCATTCAATAAGAACCTCAAACTATCAATGAGGACCTGGAACAGACAACTGATAATGAGTGACAATGTCAAGCTGACCCCATCGCCGTTTGCTGACCGTTGTATATAGAGAGCGCCTGTGTAATCCCAGGGACGTCCCCCGTCTTTGTTCAATTAGTCTTGTCAATGTCACCATCCTCTGTCAATCTGCACGGCATCGCACAGCGATCAGGGCCATCATGTATCTGCGCCTGAACTCTGTACGCGGAAGGCGGGCCACAGGCTGAGCTATAAATACCCTCACCCAGACTCTCTGTTCTCATTTCTCCAAGATGGCAAACCCAGTCACACATATTCTATTCGGCACTTCTCCTGATGCCTTTTACATCGGACATGGAAGGAGACATCACATCCAAGGAATGCCAGAGGGATTCACGAAGCACGCCGCCGCGCTTCATATCGCGATGACGCTGTGGATCAGGTGCGTCGAGTGCGAGCGAGGATGGTAGCCAAGCTGAACGGGCGCAGTATGACTAGAGACATGCAGCACTGGGTCCTCTTCAATGTCGCGACAAATCAATGTGGGCTCTATCCTTAACTAGACCAAATCTTACGATATTATCAATCAACCTTGCGACCAGTCTTCCACAACACCGACATCCCGCCTGTGATTCGTGATCACCTCGGCGGCGCGGACGGCAAAGTTCCTGCCGACTTCCTCACGTTCTCAGACGACCCGGACCCCGCCCATTTCTTTCTCAAAGGCAAACGGCACGCTTCATGGAGCGCCACGCTGGACGACTCGCTTATTCAAGAGATTCTGGCTCAGAAACGCCGTGTTCAGGGATTCGACGCGAGTGTGCAGGGCGTTTTGTTTGGCAAGGGACGGACCAGTCTGACGATGCTGCCGGGCGGTTTCATCGCTCGTTTGGACGGGGATGCCCTAGATCCAGGCCACATTCTTAACAAAGTACGTCAGGCCGGTTCTCAATATGTTTCCACGGTGGAATCGATGCGTTTTCACACCAGACACTGACCGAATTCCAAACTGGATGGGCAATCGAACGGGGCTCGACACTGTGTTTCTACGATCACGCGTACTTCTTCCTCAAGTTCAAGCAGCAGCACGGCACGACAGTGCAAATGCGCTGGAACATGCCACCACATATGATGCAAATCCTCGCTGAGCTGCGGGAGGTCACAATGGGTGTCGAGGAACAGAACCGTGCGCGCTCAAGCTATTCTCTGTACCGCGTTCGTGAAACTTACATTACGCGGTGCCGGCGTTTAGTCCTGATGCAAGACGACGAGGTGGCGATGGGTAGAGCTCGGACCCGAATGGTGAGGCTGCGCACTACCTTTCCGTGTTTGAAGGCCGACCATTTTTCCAGGAACAATCGATGAGAGGCAATCGATGAGAGGCACTAGCATGCTTGCAAACATCGGGATTCAAGGGGCAATTAACATCAACGCCGCTGCGTCTGGTGGGCACGTAGTGAGTAGATACCGCTAGTACGTGTAAAAATGGAGAAAACACAAGATTCCGCTCGGGCTCGAACAGGAGGCGGGCATCCACAAGTAAGCGAGGCTACAGTGGGATCATGTCGGCGAGGAATTTCATAATTGCTATGCAGGTCAGCGAATTCAACTCGGCGGTCGTCTTGGGAAGCACTCACTTATCGTTCTAGAATGTCTGAAATGAACTCTGGGTTGATTTATTTGTCCTAGAAAGTGCTAACCGGCTCAGCAAGGGTGTTGAGCGGTGAATTTGGTCACGAGCTGGTGCGTCAATGGGTAGCGGCCCGGCCATCCGGCCAAGGCGATCCACAGCTCATCATTGAGGAAACCGGGAGTATATCCCTCGGGCGGAGTTGGATGCAAGACCCTCCGTGCTATGTGCCCGTGTTCATCACAATCAGATGACCCGAGAAAAGGTGACGAAGCGGAAGGTCACTTGTCCCCCTTGAGGCTCAAATTACCCCGCCTGCGTCCATATCCAATTTTTTGAACTTCGCGCCAGTCGTATCACCCATTTGGCTTTGTGGAGATGTATCATGATGCGACGAAGACTCCCTGGGAGTTTGTTCAGATCATCAAAATCTTGGGTTCCTGGATCAAGATCAGCGAGAAATCACAGTTCGGGAAGAGAGAAACAGTCTCAGATGCGCGGGGCCTCAATCGGATACTGGTTCGCCTCTCGATCGATCCCTCGTCTACCTTTCAATTGCTCAACATGAGTTGTTACCACTGCCCGAGCATTGTCCGTGCACAGCTGTGGCACAACAGCTACAGGAGCTCACAACAACAACAGCTCGCTCTATGAGAGGCACGACGTATTCTTCCCGGCTAGAGATCAAACCGAATGGCAACGGAGGATGATCAATCATCAAGACTTCTGTGTTTGAGTCCACATTGATATTTCCATCCCTGCAGATTGATATAAAGCGCAATACACTGCCCGTGGTGCCCTCAATCTCTGGCCATCTCTCCGACCTGGGTCTTTCTATTTTTTTTCTTACTTGCCTTTTGGCTGTTTCGGCTGCGTTACACGATCACTCCACATTGGCTCTCCCATGTCTCTGCAGGACAGAGGCTACAAGTTTCACACTAGACAACACACTAGGGGCGCTGGTCCTGGGACTCGCTGCATCGTGTTTTGTGTATGGGATGTGCGTCGGGGTGTCCCTTGGATCGGTTAGACTCACGAAAGCTCACCACAGTCTCCTCACGCAAGTTTGGACTTACTACCACCGGTACCTGTACGACGCACGGCGGGTGAGTGAAGCAGATAATATTCTCCTCGGTCTGAAGCTCATGCTGATTCCATCCTCTCTCAGTACAAGTTTCTGGTCGGCCTCATTGTGTGAGCTGAATTTGCATTGCCCTAAACTCCAGCTCACTTATTTTCTGCCATCCAGCTTGCTCGAAACAGTCGACCAAGGTTTTATTACCCACTTTGCATATTATTACACAGTGACGAGTGCGGGGAAACCACTCTCGATGGCGACGGGGAACATGAAGTGGTCTCCGGTCGTGAGTTCTTGGGGTTTCGATCTGATGACCTGCTGACCATGGTATTTATATAGCTACAGCAGATGATCGGGAATCTTGTGGGCATCACTGTAAAATGGTGAGTCTCATCCCTCAGCTTCCGTCAGACTCCCGCCATAGTCATAGCGTGTTCGCGGTTCGAGTGTACCGTTTCAGCCAGCGGAACCTCTGGATCCCGTCTCTCATCGTTGTCCTCAGCCTCAGCCAACTCTGTTTTTCTCTCTGTGAGTTTGCCTGGGCTATCAATCCCTATTGGATTTCACACTCATCATTTTTGCAGGGTTCACGGTCAAGGCATTCGAGATGCTCTCTATTTCCGCCGTGTTCGGCCTTAAAATACCCGCCACGACCTCCCTCGCGCTGGGCGTTTTCACAGACATAACAATCGCTGCCTCGCTATCTTTCTTCCTGCGGCGTCTGCGGAGCGGGATCGCCAGGTACGGCTTTCCATTTGGAATCGGCATCGGACACTCAATCAGCACAGAACAGACTCGTTGGTGCGCCGACTCGTGCGAGACGCGATCAACATCGGCATTCTCACTTCCACCGTCAGTCTCACAACGCTCTTGTTGGTCGGTGGTCTGCATTCTTGGTTTTCTTCGTTGATTAAACCGCCCTGATACACAGTTTGATCTTTCCGGGGGTAATCTCGTATTCGGGGCCACCTACTTTCTCCTCTCCAAACGTGCGTAGCATCTGATCTAGGCAGCACCTTTGCATCTCGCATCCGGATCCATCCTCCAAACAGTCTACGCCATATCCTTTTTGTCAACGTTGAACTCACGGGAGGTCATTCCGGGCCGTGGGCGAGACGAGGAGGAAGGGGCTGAAAAACAATCATTCAACTCACAGACCCGCCTGTTAGCGGTTCACCCGACGGAAACGTCGATATCGCAGCTGAGAGTCAGTATGTACTCGGACGACAGCTGTAGCATGAAGTCCTGGGACGGTGTATACAGTAAGCCCACTGCCCCCAGAAACTCTCTTATGGGTGTATGTATAATTTGTGATCTCAGCGGGAATTAAGAGTTATCATCCACCAGATAAAGAAGGCTTGGTTATGATTCTTTGACCGATACATGGATTAAATACACGAGAGTGAGTTCAATAAGTTATGGCAAGTTCTCTTTGCGCTGGAGTGTTAAGTGCAAATATAGAACATCTATATCGTGTGTGAAGGGTTATACAGAGAAGGTTTAAGATCAGCGGAGGCCTCGGCTTGCGGGGCAACGGTGGGAATGATATCAAGATGAATGTGATGTCGAATGAACGAGGTCGTTGGATGCCTGAGCAGCGAATGCAGCCCTAGTCGACGCAATTGTACACTGAACCGAACGAGATCAACATGTACACAAAAACAACAAAGAACATACGTACGCACGAAGAACAACTCAATCCCCGGCTATGCAATCATACAACCCCCATTTGACCCGTGCCCAGATCTATCAAAGTCCACGAGCTCGCCCAGGGCCTCAAGACTGTCTTCGTCCGCAGCCTCGGCGATTAAGAAAGATGGGGACTGGGGCGGAGACTTTTCTGATACAGGTTGGAGGAGCAAGAGGTCGCGCACGCATGCAGCGAGAGTGGGGATGACGAATATGTCCATAACATATGGGCAAGGAGTGAAAGTCGCGCGGCCCGACAGAGGAAGCAGGAGTAAAGTCGAAGGATTGATTGGAAGCCTCCGTATTCTCAGCCCTTCTTATACTGCGCTCATCCCGCACAACAATTGAAGCCAACCCAATTGTCTCTACCTAATCAAGCTCGAGGGGATCGTACGAAATGATCAGCGCGGGCGGAGGATCATTTGTCGGGAGGATGTACACAAAAGGAACCAGGCGGAGATAGGGAGGTGCATAATAAAGCTGCAGGAGGCGGCGCGACTAAGAACAACAGGTCCTTCCTTGGCGAAGTAAAGGGAACAATTAGTCTTCGGTCGCAAACACAAGAGATTGATTGTTCTCCCGGCCCGGTATGTAGATCTCATCAACCTGCGTGGTGGGGTCGTGCCAGAGTCCAGACTCGACTGCGGTATAGTCTACGCCAGTGAAGTCGAACTCGGAAGTATAGTGCATGAGATATATCAATAGTCGAGACCGATGGGAGAAAGTCGTGACTGTCACAGAGCCCACGTGGTACTACATAGATCAATTGGGGGAAGGTCTTCTCAGCGAGGCAGCTCAGCGTCGCAGAATACATGCTTGGGATGTCTACAACTACCATTGAGAATGAGAGCCCCAGTCCATTGCGTGACTGCCCGTAATTCAAGACAAGGTGGCCGGGTTGCAGGCCGGGTTGCCCAAGCCGTAATACGATGCAGGGCAGCAGTTCTCCTGCTGGGCTTTCCCGCTCATCTCCTGAGCTCCAAACATATAAGCCATGGGAGACAGGACAAAAGCCTGTGGGCAAGCATCAGTACACAGAGAGCCGCGAAACGTACTCAGACTCACTGAAAGACGGTCGCTGAGATGACACATGTCCCCCAGGCAACCTCGAAGCTTGGGCAGAGCGTCCGCAGAATGAGACGGGGGTTACGAGCAGAGCTGGCTGGAGCAGAACGATGGGCCGCATCGACGTCGGGACTTTGACGAGGAGGTTTTCATGTGCCCCTAGTTACGATAGGCACTATATCATGGTGCTACCTGCAGAGGAAGTCGTCAGAAATGTGTACGAGGGCAGAGGAGCCAGGCCGGTTGGAGGGAGGTTTCAGTATAACTAGGATTATGATTGGGACGCATTGTGTCGGCGACACTCGTCGAAATAGACAGACGTGTTTCTCATCGTTGATGAAGTGTGGACAAGTGGGACAGAGAGAGACATACGATAGAATACGAATACGACATGAGCGCACGCTGCTGCTTCGCATGAGAACAGGCGACGGTGGGTGGGTGGGTCGGTGGCGAGTGGAAGAAAGAGGCAAGACAGTGCAGGCATCGCCACCGATCCGAATCATCCCGAGACCCGAGCAGTGATTAGATTACTCGAGTATAGATATATTATGATGTTACACTACGTCGTGTGTCGCTCTATGGAAGCCGTATTACTACTCAGCTCAGCCGAGGATTGACAGCATAGCAAACTCTCCAGTCCATGCCGCTCACTGTATAGAGAGTACAAATCCGAACTTGATCTGCCTGGATCCCGGACCGACCGAGACGAATGCCAGCAAGGTTTTTCTCATCAAAGTGAGCAGGTTTGTGAGACTGGAAAGTCGTCCATGACCCTGGGTACACCGCACCAGAAATTTGAGGACTCACCGAAGCAAACTGGTTCCAGCGATGGGCGAGCTCCTTGCCAAGCGTCGAAAGTTCGACGAACTGGGCGTCCGCGTTTTGAAGATGGATCTTCGTCTTGAACGGTTTATATCCAGGCCACTGCGCCAAAACAATTCAGACGACCGTAAAAACATCATCCCGATGGACGTAGCTACTGACCTCGATGACGATATCCGCGACGGGCCACTTCCTGACCGTGTGTAGAATCGGCAGCACCGCATCGATCTGCTCCCCTCCCCTCGCGAGCCCGCGCTTCGCGTGAAGGTTAGACAGAGACACGCCGACCTTGGCGATTCCATCCGCCGGGTTGAATGGGATCGCCATCATGGCACCGGGGTTCGGCTGGTTGAGGTAAAGGGCTTGCACGTCAGAGTGCCACCAGTCGCTATCCGGATCCAATATCGGATCTGAGGCAGATCCCTGCGAGTGTCTAGGAACACTCGGGAGCGCGATCCGAGCAGATTTCGATCCTTTGCGTTCCATGCCATGACGAGAGAATATTGCTTGAGGCAACGAAGCAGTGTGTGACTGTGTTGAGTGGGGATACCATTCTAGGTAATTCGGCTGAGCGCACAAGTTGCTGCTGGGATAGTCTGCATATTCAAAATCGAGTTCATGATGGGATGAAGAGTGTCCAGTTGGAGCAGATTCGTTGTAGTTCCACTCGCTCGGCAGGGAGGGGAGCCCTTGGTCAAATCCTTCGGCGACCGTGCAGGGCCAGTTGGAGTTCGGTGAAGGATTGCTCGAGGGCCTCCGCCCCTGCGTTGGATAGGGCTGGTACGGATTGTGGTACCATCCAGGATTTCCAGCCATGCCGAGCTTAATTGAAGGTTCTCGGGTGCATGAAGAGATGCACGACCGAATATATACCTTCGCTGATCACCAAAGCGCGGCGGAATTGGCAAGTTCAGTCCTGATGCCATCGTTCCATTGTTCGACGCTTTGGGAACAATTCATTTCCATTTCTACAAGATGGCATCAGAAATCCAGCTGATGGCTCGTGATTACTTGCGGCCGAGTCCAGGTTACCCGCAACACCGATGTCGCTCGCCCACGACCTTTCCTCCGACTGGCTGGCGGTCTCTGAACCCTTCCCACACGTACTGCACATCGAACTCTCCCGGTGCGCGCATCTTTCCCGTGATCCTATTATTGGAGTCTGCTTGCTAAAATCACAACTGAACAATCCAGCAAACCAGTAAACGCGTTCTCAGCTGCGTACGTGTCACTCTACCCACCCTAGTCTTCGAATCTCTGAGTTTCTATTTGAATGCAGATTCTGGAGAGCGTATGGGGCGCTGCTAGACCGAATCGTCGCCGAATGTCGCGACGTGCGCGCGGTGGTGCTCTCATCGTCTATTCCCAAGTTGTTTACCGCCGGAATCGATCGTGCGTCCCTCTCTTCTCTCATTCGTTCCTAATCTCCGTCCCTGCGAACAGTGGCGGACGCGGCAAAAATCACGACCGGTGGCCTGCACGCTCTCGTCGCTCCGGATCCCGCCAGAACATCGCTCGTGGCACTGCAAGACATCAAAGAATTCCAGCACGCCATCGGTGCGCCCGAGCGCTGCCCCTTCCCCGTGATCGTCGCCGTGCACGGCGCGGTACTGGGCCTGGGTATCGACGTCATCGCCGCATGCGATGTCCGCTACGCGGCTGCGGACGCGAGCTTCAGTATCAAGGTATTTCCCACCCTCACTTCTCCCATTCCGCCTGGGGTCCAACAGAATATGAACAGGAAGTGGACATCGGACTAGCAGCAGACGTCGGCACTCTCTCCTATCTCCCCAAGATTACCGCAAATCACTCGCTCATGCGCGAGCTGGCGTACTCGGCGGAGTTGTTCTCTGCCGCGGATGCCCAGCGTCTCGGGCTCGTCTCGCGTGTGGTACCGGGGAGCAGGGCCGAGGTCGTCGGCGCGGCATTGGAGCTGGCGGGCCGGATTGCGGCGAAAAGCCCCATTGCAGTGAGCGGGACCAAGCGGATCTTGATCCATGCGCGGGACCACAGTGTGGCGGAGAATCTGGAGTATACATCCGTATGGAATGCAGCGGCCCTGAACACCGCGGTGCGTTCTAATTTTATGCATCCTAGTATATCACTAGCTTGACATGATTGCAGGACATCCCGGAAACCTTGGCGGCTATGAAGGCGAAAAGAGCACCCAAGTTCGTGCCCTTAATGAAGACAAAGATGTAGTCATACAGAATGGTGTACATATTTGCATCCTCCATTCGAACTCACGCCGGGGGCGCAGCACGTGCTGGTGTAAGCGGCTGCTGATACGGCGGCGGCTCCGAAGCCAGCACGTGTGCTTCGAGAACGGCGAGCCGGTCCTCGAGGAAACGCTCGCGCGCTGAGGAGCCGGAGATAGTCGTAGACGCTTCAGTGGACGAGTCCGCGTACGGTTGGCTGTAGGGAGCGCGGGGACCTACACTCGTCGAAAGCGATGTCAAGGAGCCGTTATCGCGCGCATTCATCCAGCTTGTGTCCACTGGAATAGGGGAGGGATGTGAGCGTCTGGCTGGGATATCAGCAGTGTTTGAAACCACGCACTCGTCTTGGAGTCAAGCCGGGATTCAGAGTAGCCCGAAGTGGATGCCGTGCTAGATTCGGTATTATGCACGGGCATCTGCAACTCCGTCTGCATCGTGTCAGAAGCTGTAGACGTCGCCTGATGTTGCGATATTGATACCGGCGCAGACGAAGTGTCGACAAATGGCTGAACTGGCCGCTGGGGCTGACGATTGCGCAAATTGCGCACTCGAGGACCCGCATCCGAGTCATCGGCCTCGTCGGCCTGTGTCCCTATTCCTCTCCTTCTCCTCCACCTCGTCAGGGAGAACAACAGTAAAACAAGTCCAAGGAGGACGACGACTCCTGCGACGGTTCCCCCGGCAATAGCCCCCGTGTTCGATTTCTTGTGCAGCAAAGGCGACGAGGCTGTCGTACTATCGAGTCTGAATCGATGCCGGAGTCAATATCTAGTCATCGATGACTCACGATGAATTTGGACTCGCTGCCGACGCAGTGATTACTGCGTAGTCGATCAATGCAGACGTCCCATTCGTGAGCCCTTTGCCCACGACCCAGGACACGGTATGGTTTACGCCTTCTTCAAGGCCAGTGGCGGAAAAATACAGCGCGTCGAACACGAACTGGTTCGGCCCGTTATAATAGTGCGTTGTCGTCCGGCTTTCCAGAGTAAACGTGGTGTTCGCCGAGGGCGTGAGATCGATGCCGTATATGTACACCGCCGATCCTGCGTCACGCGCTCAACCCGATCAGGACACGGCCCCAGCGAGAAAAACACACCCTGGAACGTCAACGATCCCTGCGTACCCACCGATCCGTCGTGCCATGTCTGATTGTGTATGTGTGCCGTCTGAGGCTGTGCGGAGCAGTACAGACACGGCGTCGCGGGCGTTATCGCCGCCCAGGACGGCGGGTTCGCGTAAATGTCTTGCACGAACTGGAAGTAGTTCGAGTCCGTGTCGTCAATCGTTGTATTCATCAGCGTGTCTGCGCGCGACAGCAGGGATGAAGAGAGGAGCAGAACGCTAGGGAGCAAACGACGAGAATAGACGGGGGAGTGAGGGAGGGAAGGAAAAGAGTCTAGTGTTCACTCCACCATATCAAATCTTATTTGCATTTCCTCCGAGAGGGAGGCCACGTGGGTCCCGAGTGATGGCGACGAATGATGAACCCGGTTCTGAAACATTCGCACTCGGCGTAAACTGTCCTTCATCCTCGTCCCTGCTCAGCTCGAGGGTGCTCTGCGAACCGCGGAGGTCAATCATACCGCCTTTGCTCTGGATATGAAGCTTCCTGCTGTTGCTCACATCATTTGGACCGTGACTATCGCTAATCGCTGCTAATTTGTCCTTGTGATCTTGGTGGCTGGGCCATTATAGTTTCGGCCGGCAATCAAAAAGGTGAACCGGTTATTTCTTCCTGCTGTTCCTTGCCCTGGGTGCGCTATCGACCTTCAAAAAGCACCTTGCAGGCTACTACTCACATTCAGCGCTCCCAGCTCCAAGCCTCATATGTAGCCTCGCGATGCCAGACAACGGTCACATTATCATGCTCGTTCGCTCGATCAAGGATTCTTTGAAATTTGAGATCTGATTGGATATGATTGAATACATGAGAGCTGTGGCACACAGATTTGCCACACTCACTCCAGCCGTCGCGTCCCCGCGCTTGGACTGTACAGTTCTGTATTGTGCCACGATCACGTGAGATTGCTGATTGATGACGTCGACCACTCGTTCCAAGCCACTGGGTCACCTCTGAGAGCTTTGTGTGTGCTCGCAAAGACAAAATCCCAGAGAAACGGAAGGTCAGATTCGTTTTAAACATCTGTCGGAAGCCCGTGGCCAAAGTTGAATAGCGGCGCGCGTCTGGCAAGATCCTTGTTTGAGCATTGACCCTCTTTGAACGTAGTGTCAATGGGGCCCGACGCTTTTCAAAGCACGAAGAAGGCGGTTTTTTGTCGATTCATTGACCTCAAAGCAGCGAAAAGCCATGAAATGCGCCTTGATCAGCCCGCGCTTTGCCGTCGCCTCTGTGCGCCCGCCTTACGCTTTACTGCCCACCGTTAAAGCGTTCGATTGTGCTTTGCGTCGGCGGATGGTATATAGGATGGATACAGGATGCTAGAAATGCACCCATCCACTCAACCCACTCAACATTCTCAACCTCCCATCAACTTTAAACGATATGTCGGTGCGTTTCGGTGACATAATCATCTTTCGTTCCGCGTTGTGACTGTGCTTGCCAGCAACAGCAAGTCCTCGACTGGTGGCACAAAAACACCAACGCGGTCTATGTCAACCGCCCGCCCCCCAATGCACAGAATGTCATCTTGTTCGACCCCGTGTACAGCCCGTGCTCGATGGGCGTCGCACTTCTTAACCTGGAGCACAAATTCGGCATGGCTCGCGGCGAAGAGCGTCTCGACACGCTGCTCCCTGCTCTGCGCAGCACTCGGGCCTGGCCATTTGCCGATCTCGTCATTGAAGTTCGTCCCTTGGCCATCTGTCTCTTCGAGTGCGATACTGACTTCTCGGTTTGCAGTGGCCGGGATACAAGAGCGTCGACTCCAAGTTCCGCATGCAGGATGATTCGGGACACTTCATCAAGCTCAAGTATCTTGGCGAGTTCCTCGCTCGCGAGTGGAAGCAGTTCGCAACCGTGGGTTCCTCTCCATATTCTGTATCAAATCGGGTGCTTAAACCCTGGTCAGGACCGCGCTGGCGAGCGACTCCACGACTCGGCCCGCGCTCCGGGCATGCGCATCGGATATCAGGACGGGATCCAGTACGACCAGGTTCGCATCGTGTCGATGTACACCGTCGATGGACTCAAGTGGCGTCTCTGCTACGGAGTCGTGCAGAATTATGCTCGCGTCTAAGGAATGAGACTGAACGCTAGTGTAGAATACCGGTCTACATGATACCCGCATTCAATTTCAACAAACGTATTTAACAAACAGCTGAGAGATCCCTTTTCATCTGTCGAAAATTCACAGGGCTTTCTGCCATTTTTCAGCTTGCAAGGCAAGTGCTCAAGGGAGCTCATAATGCATAGAGTGCTGTCACCAGTCTTGAATGCGTTCCAAGCAGTTGGCGACTATCGCCAGGAGCGGTGAAGTCCCATTGGACCAGTGCATCAGTTTTATCACGACCGGAAATTCTATCAACTGCAGAACTGAGGAAGCCTCCTTAAGTTTCAGATTGTTTCGAGGGCTGAGTTGAATGATCGGAGGCATATCTGGCCATTTTCGAATGCTCCCGGATGCAATCCAAGCGCACTAACGCAAATATTTTCTCGCAGCTCTCGTTCT